GTGGAAGCGTTGGAGTGGGGCCCGTATATTTCTTGCTGGGTTTGACTTCTTTGGTGAGGCGGGGTTGTTTTTTGGGGCATCCCTGAGCCCGCACGGGGAACCTCGGGGCTGTGGAGGGGACGAGTCTCACACGCTTGGGAACCAAGAAGGTGTTCGCGGTTTGTTTCGCATTGCTAGGTCCAGGCGCATTACGAGCCCGAGGCCATCGCCACCATCATCATCATTACCGTGACCATCATCATCATCATCATCATCATCATCATCATCATCATCATCATCATCATCATCATCATCATCATCATCATCATTATCATCACCACCATCATCACCATGCTAAGCATCATCATCATCACCATCGGTATCATCCTCCTCATAATCATTGTCGTCGTTGTCGCCATCACTGTCTCAAGGGATTATATTTTTTACCTAACTGCGAGCCTCCGCGGTGGCATGTACTGCGCGAAGTGCAGCGGTATCAAAGCCAAACAGAACTCGCGGAAAGACAGCGCGAAGTGGAATCAGAGCGTCGGAACAGTGCGATGTACGAACGGTAAGTGCCTGTCGCTATATGACGAAAAGGCGGATATGTCGGAAGCTCAGAAGAAGCACAATGCTGCGGGGGAAAGGCTCTGTCGGAAATGCGCGGAAGAACGAGAGAAAGAGGTGCGACGGGGGAATGCGGAGGCAGCGAATCGCAAGCGGAAAGCCGAGGCAGACACGAAGCCATTGACGTGTGCGGCGTGCGGAGAAGCGTTCTCGGACACGAAACATTTGAAGCATAAGCAAGTGGAAGATCATCGAGCGGCGAAAGGAGCGAAAGTGGTGTGTCGAGGCTGCAAGAACCTCGGGTTCACAGCCCGCAGTTGCCAGGCGTATCAGTGCGGCGGCGCGTGCAAATGAAGACTACCGAAGTCGGCGTTCTCCGGGGACCCCTCCAACGTCGCACGCGATGCAAAAAAGGGCACCCTGATATGCAAGACCTGCAAATGATGCCCAATCGGGGGCGCGTGTGCGGGGGAGGACAGGGGGGAGGGGGAGAGAGGGATGGGGGGTGAGGCGGAGGATGGGGGGAGAAGAATCGGGGAGGAAGAGGATGAGGCGGGGGAGGAAGAGGAGGAGTGGGCGAGGAGGAGGTGGAGGAGGAGGAGGAGAGGGGGAGGAGGACGGGGACACAGAGACGAAACTCTGGGATATGTGCTATGGGTTAGAGGCTTTTTGTATGTGTATAGGGATCTCGCGGCACGCTTCTCGGGGACCTCTGGAAAGCAGTTTTGAGCCCACCTGGCGGCCGAGGTGGAGGAGGAGGAGGAGGAGGAGGAGAAGGAGGAAGGGGACACAGAAACAAGGCTCTGGGTTATGGGTTTTGGGTCAGAGGCGTCTTGCACCAGCTTGGGACCAATTTGGAGGCAGGTTTTGCCGTCTTGGGGTCGTCTTAGGCCGAATTGGGAGGCGTCCAGGGCCGTGTTAGGATTCTCTGGGGCCGTCTTGAGGCCCTCTTGGGGCGCCGTGGGGCGATCTTGGAGGCTCTTGGGGCTACGTGAGCCGACGGAAGCCGGGAAAGGCAACAAGTGCAAACATGCTCAACAACGCAATGGAAATGTAATGAAATGCGTAATGTGCGCCTCTTTCAGATGTCTTGGGGGTCTTCTTGGAGACTTCGTGGGCGATAGTGAAAGCCTTTTAGGCCATCTTGAGGCCATCTTGGGCCGTTTTTTCGAACTGTCTTGGGCCGTCTTGGAGCCATCTTGGGCCGTTTTGGAGCCATCCTGGGCCGTTTTGGAGCAATGTTGGCCTCGAGAGCGCGAATCCTTTTGTGTGCGCAAACGCAACCCCGCCACCGTGCCTGGGTTGTTGATATGAGACTTGTGCGGTGATCGTTGGGATCTCTTGGGGGGCTTCTCGCGGGACTCTTGGAGGCAGTTTCGAAGCCTCTTGGGGGCCGTTGTGAGGCCGTTTTGGAGCCTCTTGGGGGCCTCTTGGGGCCTCTTGTGGGCGTCTTGGGGGCCTCTTGGGGCCTCTTGGGGCCTTCTGGGGCCGTCTTGGGGCGGAAGGCTCGGATTGTCGGTTCGGGCTCCCCCTCTTGGGCACCTCTTGGGGCCGTCTTGGGGCCCTCTTGGGCTGTCTTGGGGGCCTCTTGGGCCGTCTTGGCGCCCTCTTGGGCCGACTTGGGCGCCTCTTGGGGGCCTCTCGGGGCGGTCTTGGGGTGCTCTGGGACCGTCGTCAACGCCGTGAAGGCCGACAAGTAGTATATGATCAAAATGTACGTTTTCCCATAGGAATTTGACGATTTTCGGCGCTTCGGCCCTTCTGAGGACTGCTCTTGGAGGCCTCTTGGGCCGTCTTGGAGGCCTCTAGGCTCGTCTTGGGGGCATCTTGGGCGTCTGGGAGCGCTCGTTTGGCGCCTCGGAGCCCTCGTGAGCCGTCTTGGAGGAGTCTTGGGGCCTTCTTGGCCCGTCTTGATCCCCTTTTGGGCCCAAAAGAGCCCCGTGACGCGCTCGTCGTGGGCCCGGGGGGGGGGGGGTCGAATCTCAATTTTGGGGTCCCAGGGGGGGGGTAGGGGGGGGAACTATCTCACACGCCTAGAGACCCACAAGGGGTCGGCGGATTTATCAAGTTTCGTGCCCCTCCCACCCCTCCAGGGAGGCCCCGCCTGAGCGAGCAGGGTATTCGCACACCATATTATTTATCAGGTTTCGCGCCCCTCCCACCCCTCCAGGGAGGCCCCGCCTGAGCGAGCAGGGTATTCGCACACCATGTTATTTATCAGGTTTCGTGCCCCTCCCACCCCTCCAGGGAGGCCCCGCCTGAGCGAGCAGGGCATTCGCACACCATGTTATTTATCAGGTTTCGTGCCCCTCCCACCCTCCAGGGAGGCCCCGCCTGAGCGAGCAGGGTATTCGCACACCATTATTTATCAGGTTTCGTGCCCCTCCCACCCCTCCAGGGAGGCCCCGCCTGAGCGAGCAGGGTATTCGCAGGTTTCGTGCCCCTCCCACCCCTCCAGGGAGGCCCCGCCTGAGCAGGGTATTCGCACACCATGTTATTTATCAGGTTTCGTGCCCCTCCCACCCCTCCAGGGAGGCCCCGCCTGAGCGAGCAGGGTATTCGCACACCATGTTATTTATCAGGTTTCGTGCCCCTCCCACCCCTCCAGGGAGGCCCCGCCTGAGCGAGCAGGGTATTCGCACACCATGTTATTTATCAGGTTTCGCGCCCCTCCCACCCCTCCAGGGAGGCCCCGCCTGAGCGAGCAGGGTATTCGCACACCATGTTATTTATCAGGTTTCGTGCCCCTCCCACCCCTCCAGGGAGGCCCCGCCTGAGCGAGCAGGGTATTCGCACACCATGATATTTATCAGGTTTCCTGCCCCACCCATCCCTCCAGGGAGGCCCCGCCTGAGCGAGCAGGGTATTCGCACACCATGCTATTTATCAGGTTTCGTGCCCCTCCCACCCCTCCAGGGAGGCCCCACCAGAGCGGGAAGGGTGTTCGCACACCATGTTATTTATCAGGTATCCTGCCCATCCCACCCCTCCAGGGAGGCCCCGCCTGAGCGAGCAGGGTATTCGCACACCATGTTATTTATCAGGTTTCGTGCCCTCCCACCCCTCCAGGGAGGCCCCGCCTGAGCGAGCAGGTATTCGCACACCATGTTATTTATCAGGTTTCGTGCCCCTCCCACCCCTCCAGGGAGGCCCCACCAGAGCGGGCAGGGTATTCGCACACCATGTTATTTATCAGGTTCCTGCCCCTCCCACCCCTCCAGGGAGGCCCCGCCTGAGCGAGCAGGGTATTCGCACACCATATTATTTATCAGGTTTCGTGCCCTCCCACCCCTCCAGGGAGGCCCCGCCTGAGCGAGCAGGGTATTCGCACACCATGTCATTTCCAGGGACCAGGGTATTCGCACACCATTATTTATCAGGTTTCGTGCCCCTCCCACCCCTCCAGGGAGGCCCCGCCTGAGCGAGCAGGGTATTCGCACACCATGTTATTTATCAGGTTTCGTGCCCCTCCCACCCCTCCAGGGAGGCCCCACCAGAGCGGGCAGGGTATTCGCACACCATATTATTTATCAGGTTTCGTGCCCCTCCACCCCTCCAGGGAGGCCCCACCAGAGCGGGCAGGGTATCCGCACACCATATTATTTATCAGGTTTCGCGCCCCTCCCAACATTCCAGGGAGGCCCCGCCAGAGCGGGCAGGGTATTCGCACACCATATTATTCATCAGGTTTCGTGCCCCTCCCACCCCTCCAGGGAGGCCCCACCAGAGCGCAGACAAGAAGCAATGGAACCCCGTAACATCTTTATGTGGGGAACTCCGTTAGCATAATTCACAATGAGCGTTTTCGCCCTGTTACGGGACCCAGAGCCATCACAGATCGATCAGGCTCCACAAATGCAGCAGAAAGATGGGGTCTATCACAGGGCGCCTCTCGGAGAGTCGTGACCTCAGACACTTCAACGGGGACCCTGGCTTGTCGAGGCGGCTCCCCCAGGGGCGCGAAGGGGGAGAATATCATGCCCGCACGGGGCCATGGTGGGCTCCTGGCGAGCTCGAACCACATTAAGAACGGCCCCGATGGGGTCCGCAAGGCAACGCAGGGAGGTCCCAACGGTCCCCACCTCCCCCACCTGACTGGCCTGCGCGAGAGAGCCCCGCAAGGGCCCGCAAATAGAGTGTCAAATCCCAACGCCGAAACGGTCTGCGACACCCTAGCTCGGGACAATCCCGTAACTGTAAGGCGATCACTACTCCCGCCCGCATGACCATAAGTATAACCACGACCGCAACCATGCCCAATAAGAAAGCCATGACCATCATGCTCGTCGCTAGGATAATTATCGCTATCGTCATCATCGCCGGGTGTAACGGGAAATTGTACCACTCTGAATGCGGATGTCATGTCAGACCATGGGTGCGCCGCACAACCATGGATGCCCAAAGCACGGTGGCGGCGCTCGACGGCAGTGGCAACAAAGTGCACGGGCGGCTTTTTCTCGCAGGCGGGCGAAATCCCGCAGGTTCAAATCGCGCGTCCAGCCCCGGGGCTCAGTCTTCATGAAGGGCAACGATAGGGGGTGACAGTATCGGGGGGGGGGAACGAATAACGACCTGGAATCTGCGATACGTCGCCGATAGATCGGCGATATGTCCCCGATACCACATTCGCACGGTCCTGGACTGAGTGGGAAATCGGTCCCCCATCGGCGATGAATGAGCGAATTGGGGTCGATGCATCCTCCCCTGAGCCCCCCCCCAGCGTTACCCTCGACTTCAGAGCTCTTGACACTTCTGTGGGGAGCCGTCGGCGGCGGCGCGACGGTAATCCGATGGCCCTGAGAAGGGACACGACGCAACAATGTCAAAGCAGTCCCCCAGCTCTGCTTTGAACATGACGAACGTTGTCACAAAGGAGTGTCACATGCGGCATCGGATGATGATGACGTTGATGTTAATTGTGATGATGGTGGTGTGATGGTGGTGATGATGATCAATATCAAACTGATGATGCTAAGGATGGTGATGGTATGATATGAAATGAAAGGATATGATAGGATATGATATGAGGTGCGATATGATATGGTACGATGTGATATGGTATGATATGATATGGTATGCTATTGTATGGTGTGGTATGGTATGATATGATATGATATGAAATGATATTATATAATGTGATGTGTTGGGATGTGATGTGATATGATATGATATGATATGATATGATATGATATGACATGATATGATATGATATGATATGATATGACATGACATGACATGAGATTCTGGTATAGAACATGGCATCGCATGAGATGATATGATGTGAAATTATATGATATGGCATGGTATGGCATGATATGAAATGGTATTATATGGTACGGCATGAGATGATGATGATGATTATGATGATGATGGTGGTGATGATGGTGATTATGATGATGATGATGATGATGATGATGAACACGGCTCTCCGTCGGTACATGCTCACGATGAGCAACGCCATCGACGGCATGGGCCAGCAGGACGCACTCTAGTTAAAGGCGACCCTGCGCATACTGACGGAGGGCTACGTACAGTACCTGAAGGGCACTAGCGTCAAGGAATGAAGTATCCAAGAACAGCGACAGGCGCTCGTCCGCGCCTGCGCGGATGCAACGGAGCAGGTGGAACCGAAGTCCAATCGGGACGCCCTTGGGAAAGCCTTGGGCGAAGTGCCAGTGGGAGATGAGAAGCCCGATTGGTTCGATGTCACGACGTTGCCGCGCCCAGACCCGAAGGAGCCCGCAGTTCCGGGAAAGGCAAAGGGCTCCGCAGCGGTGGAGGAGTTGAGGCCGACGGCCATTCCCTTTCAACCCAGGACGCAACTACCAACAAACCACCAGAACAGCAGGAACGCAACGGTCACTCCGCTCGGATCCTTCCCTTTGCCAATCACCGAATGGAGGAGTTCAGCGGCAGCGAAGAAGCAGGGGCGGGAGCCCGCTTTGCGAGGCGCAATGTTACTGTGCCTTTGGGCGCGCCACGTGTCCGCAGCTGCGGAAGCGGAAAAAGAGGTGCTGCAAGACGCTGCCACAGCCAAGCGGACCGTCAAGGCAACCGCCGCACACGACGAACAGAGCATCGAGGTGTGGCCGTGCGTCCTCACGGCATCCGAGAAAGTGCCCGTGCAGGTATCGGTGAAAGGAAAACCAAATGCGGCCCCGCCCGCGACCTTCTACTTGCACGCCGAGTTCAAGACCCCTGCGGACAAGATGCCCGCCGACGTGACGGACGACAATTTGCGGTTGAGAACGTGGAAGTGGGATGCGCAAGATACAGTGCACGTCTTCTGGTCCGTCAACAGAGTCACATAACAGGAGGTCCTGCAGAGAAACAACAATACTGGAAACGCAGTTGCGCGCATCAACATGGAGCTCCAGAAGAAAAAGCCGACGGTGTGCGTGCCCGGGACAAGCGGGATCGTGCTCGCCGTGAAACTCCATGTAATGGTGAATAAAACGCCGGTCAGGAAAGGAGACGAGCTTCTGTGGGAGGCGAAGCCCAAAGCCACGCCGAAGAAGAAGGCAGCCGAGGAGACGTGGCAGACGGGCGCGGCCAAGAAGGCCAAAAGAACTCTTCGGGCCAGCCACCGCAGAAGAAGCCGAGGAAAGGACTCGAGGAAAGCGGAAACATGATCGACCCACGAACCCATAAATGGATACGGAAATGTAAGGCATGGCAACGTTGTCAACACACCTGATCGGGCGACGGGCAATTCCAATGCTCAGTATATGTCAGTGCACCGTGCACAGGGCTGTGCTGTGCTGTGCCACGCTGAACTGCAATGTGCCATGCCGCGATTATGCTCTATAGCGTTTTCGATCGAGTCCTCGTTGGCAGTCGAATACCGACCCATCTGATATGGATCTTCACCTCGAGTTGCCTGGGCACATAGAAGCCGCCCCATCGCTGGAAAAGTGGAGGACGTTCAATCAACTCGACATCAAAATCCGACCCATCTCTGAAGAGGAACGACACGACATGGGGCACAGGCTCACGGACGCGCCACAGGATGTGCCAGGGGCGCTATTTTTGTGATCGAGACATCGGAGAAGCATGCTTACTTGGATTATATACTTGCTCCGTCTCTGCCGTATCTTAAACGAGATACGCGGTGCTCCCTAGCCGACTGGACGCGACGGGGCGGTAAGAACCCCCCCAAAGTCACGGCCCCTGTGAGGCGTGGGACCTCGACGGAAAGGGCGCTGCCTCGGACTGCCTATGGTCCCTCACTTCTCCTCCTCCTCCCCCGTGCCCTGGATGAGCTTGTTCACCCGGCGGGCGAGCTTCCCGCGAGGCGCCTTCCCGGCCCACCTCGTGCCCCCCTGGCTGCACAACATGCTGGTCACCAACTGCTGGATTCCGATGTTCCTCAGGTTCGCCCCCGCCCGGGGGATGCACTCTTCGGAATCCAAAATCACGAAGGTCTCGGCCCACTGCAGCAGGCCCTCCTCCTCGTCCGCTACGTCCTTCATGGCGTTCTCGCGTTCCTCCAGGCCGGTCGTGCTGGGAAGGCCGACCTCCCCTACCATGTGGTACACCACCCCGGTCTTCTCGGCCTGTTTGGGTTGGTGGTGCATGTCGGCTATTCTGAAGCTCCGGAGCCATGCCGTCACGGCCTCGAGCTGCTGGGTTTTGGCCGCCACGACCAGCGCATGCAAGGCGAGCCCCCGCGCGCGCTGCGCCGCGTCCTTGGACTGCAATGCCTCTGCGGCCAGTACCGCGAGCATGCCCATGCCCACGTGCAGGTGCGGGGGGCCGCGCTTGTGATTCGGGTCGCCCTTGACTGCCGCCGCGTACTGCTTGAGCACGCTCTGGCCCTGCTCCACGATGGGGCTGGTCTTCGACATGGCCAGCGTGTCGAAGACGACGTTCTCGAGCTCGCGGACGCGAGCTTCCAGCTGCTCCAGCAGCTTGAGCACCAGCTGGAGAGTGGTGCCGGCTCCCCCCTTCTTCGGATCTAGCTGGAGGGCCGCGCCCAGCGTCCCCGTCTTCGCCACCTTGGCATCTCTTCCGCCACCATTCCCGCCAGCGCTCGCTGCTCCACCGGCCTGGGCTGGAAGCTCCCAAGAGCCACGCTTCATGCTCTGGCGTGTCGAACTTTATCGTATGCTCCTCCGAAAGTTCCGAACCGAGATGGCACTGAACAAGATGATGATACAATTGCCAACTCCACCCGACAACTCGACATCAAAATCCGACCCATCTCCGAAGAGGAACGACACGACATGGGGCACAGGCTCACGGACGCGCCACAGGATGTGCCAGGGGCGCTATAGGGGATGCGCCAGGGGACGTGTCAGGGGACGCATCAGGGGACGTGCCCTGGACGTGTCAAGGACCTGCCACGGGACGTGCCAAAGCGCGTGCCATGGGGCGGCCAGAAGACGTCATACCAAGGGACGTTGCAAGGGGCCCGCCACGAAACGGGCAGGGGAAACGCCTGGGAACGAGCAAGGCAACGCGACAGAGGACGAGCCAGGGAACGTGCCACGCCGAGTGGCGTGCTAGGGGACGTGCCAGGGCACGTCACGCCTGAGCGTCGCAAGGGACGCGCCAGAGGGCACGCCAGGGTACTAGGGGACGCCCCGCGGACTGGCGGGGTTGGACTGCGACGCACTCCACTGCGACAAGCGTTTCGCTCGAGACATCCTCAACAAATCCTCATGTTAGACATCCGCCTGGGCGACCTGTACCCTGGACACGAGAAACCAAGCGTCTCGCTCGAGATGTTCTCAACACCTCCTCATGCTACACACCCGCCTGAGCGACCTGGACACGTGAAACCAAGCGTTTCGCTCAAAACATCCTCAACACATCCGCATGCTAGACACCCGCATGGGCGACCTGGACACGCGAAAACGAGCGACTCTCTCTCGTGACATCTTCCGAACAGCTTCATGTTAGACATCCGCCTGGGTGACCTGGGCACGTGAAAACGAGCGTCTCGCTTGGAGTATCCTCAACACATCTTCATCTTAGATATCCGCTTGGGCGACCTGGGCACGTGAAAACAAGCGTTTCGATCGACACATCCTCGGCACCTCCTCATGCTAGACGTCTGCCTGGACGACCTGGACACGTGAAAGAAAGCGTCTCGCTCGGAATATCCTCAACACATCTTCATGTTAGACATCCACCTGGGCGACCTGGGCACATGAAAACAAAAGTATCGCTCGAGATCGCAGATCCTCATGCTAGACATCCGCCTGGGCGACCTGGACACGTGAAAGCAAGCGTCTCTCGAGAGAGAGACATCCTCAATACACCCTCATGTTAGACATCCGCCTGGGCGACCTGGGCACGCGAAAACGAACGTGTCGCTCAACACACCCTCAACGCATTCTCATGCTAAACATCCGCTGGGCGACCTGGACAAGCGAAAACAAGCGTCTGCCTCGAGACATCCTCAGCGCATCCTCACGCTAGACATTTGCCTGGACGACCTGAACGCGTGAAAAGAAGCGCATCGTTCGAGACATCCTCAACAAATCCTGATGTTAGACATCTGCCTGGGCTACCTACAGGCGTGAAACCAATCGTCTCGCTCGAGGCATCCTCAAGACCTGGGCACGTGAAAACGACCATTTCACCTGAGACATACTCTGAATTCTGGCCCCCAAGAGAGGAAGGGTCTATATCACATAACAAACGTTTCGCTCGAGAGGTCCTCAACAAACTATGCAAAACAAGCACTTCGTTGAGACATCCGTCACAAACGAACACGCTCACTTCACTCTGTGTTTATCGTTTCGAATTTGAAAAAAAACAAAAACAAAAAAACGGTTCGCTCGGGACATCCTCAAATTTCAATTCGCCGGCCCACCTCGATCTCGAGATTCGCCGATTAAATTCGCCGGCCCACCTCAAGTCGAGGTTAGGGGAAACCATCTGAAAGAGAACTCTGGGCCCATGCCCTTGCTGGGGAAATGTCGCTCTAAGGAGCCGCAATGGCGGCAGTGAGGGCGGCTTGTTCGCAGTGGCCATAGTTGCGGACCGCAGGAGGGCGGCTGACCGCAGTGGCCGTAGCGGCGGCACTGAAGGCGGCTTGCTCGCAGTGACCGCAGTGGCTGCTTCCGTTAGGTGTCGCCGTAATTGCGAATCGCTGACGATCGGCAACACAGCGACACAGCGGCTCCGCTCTGAAGTCTGGCCCCCGACGAAGCCCCCGCTCGAGACATCCCCCAACTCTGTAAACAAACGTTTCGCATGAGATATCCTCAACAAATGTGTATAAAACACGCGTTTCGCTGGGGGCATCCTCAATTTTTCCACGCCGAATGGGAAATTACCTCATTACCTATCGCAAAAAACATGATCGACCCACGAACCCGGAAAGGAATGTAGAAATGTATGTAAGGCATGGCAGCGTTTCAAAGACACCTGATTGGGCGACGGGCAAATGCAATGCTGAATGTATCGATTTTGATGTACCGTGCCGAGGGCTGTGCTGTGCTGCGCCGTGCTGATGCTGAAGTGCGATGTGCCATGCCGCGAATGTGCTCTATAGCGTTGTGGATCGAGTCTTCCTTTGCACCCGAGTCCTGACCGAATTGATCTGGATCTTAAGCTCGAGCTGCCTCAGCACATAGTAGCTGCCCCAGAGCTAATAGACAGGGGAACATGCCAGGAGGACGCGCCGCGGAACGTCCCAAGGGACGCGCCAGGCGACGTGCCAAGGGACGTGCCACGAAGACGCACCGCGGGACGTGCCGAGGGAACGCGCTACGGAAAGTGCCAATGGACGTGCCAGTGGACGTGCCAGGAGACGCGCCGCGGAACGTGCCAGGGGGACTCGCCACATGACGCGCCACGGAACGTGCCAGGTTGCAATGCTGAGTGTATCGATCTTGATGTACCGTGCCGAGGGCTGTGCTGTGCTGCGCTGTGCTGAACTGCGATGTGCCATGCCGCGATTGTGCTCTATAGCGTTGTGGATCGAGTCTTCCTTTGCACCCGAGTCCTGACCAAACTGATCTGGATCTTAAGCTCGAGCTGCCTCAGCACATAGTAGCTGCCCCAGAGCTAATGGACAGGGAGACATGCCAGGAGGACGCGCCGCGGAACGTCCCAAGGGACGCGCCAGGCGACGTGCCAGGGGACGTGCCACGGGGACGCACCGCGGGACGTGCCCAGGGGACGCGCTACGGAACGTGCCAATGGACGTGCACCGCGCGACGTGCCAGGGGGACTCGCCACAGGACGCTCCGCGGAACGTGCCAGGCAACATGCCAGGCTGCAGTGCTAGGGGTATCGATATTGATGTACCGTGCCGAGGGCTGTGCTGTGCCTGGGCGACCTGGACACGTGACAACACGCGTTTCGCTCAAGACGTTCTCAGCACATCCTCATGCTAGACATCCGCCTGGGCAACCTGGACACGTGCAAACAAGCGTCTCGATCCAGACTCTCTCGACACATCCTCATGCTAGACATCCGCCTGGGCGACCTGGACACGTGAAAACAAGCCTCTGGTTCGAGACATCATCAACAAATCCTCATGCTAGACATCTCTCTGGGCAACCTGGAGGCGTGAAACCAAGCGTCTCGCTCGAGACATCCTCAAGACCTGGGCACGTGAAAACAAGCATTTCACTTGAGAGATCCTCTGAATTCATGTCCCCAGGAAAGGATAAGCTATAACACAAAACAAGCGTTTCGCTCGAGACATCCTCAACAAATTCTGAAAAACAAGCGTTTCGCTAGGGACATCCTCAAAAATAATTCCGCCGGTCCACCTCGACCTCGATATTTATCAGGGAATAATTCCGCCGGCCCACCTCAAGTCAGGTCCGGGGGTAAACAGCTAAACGAGAACCCTGGGCCTACGCCCTTTCCGGGAAAAATCGCCTGCCGAAACCAAGCACGCGTTTCGCTAGGGACATCCTCAATTTTTCCACGCCGAATGGGAGTTCACATTGCTAATTCTCACAGAAAAAATGTTCGCCAGCCGAAACCAAGCACGCGTCTCGCGAGGGACATCCTCAATTTAACCATCGTTATGTATCGCAAATAATTTCGCCGGCCGAGACCAAACCAGACATCCTCAATTTTTCCACACGACGAATGGGACTTTACCTCACAATTGATCGCAAGTAATTCCGCGGGCCGAAACCGGGGGAAGCAAAACGAATGACTCCGACGGAAGGACCCCACATGAGCATTTGTTTGGCTTGTCCTTAACCCTTCCCTCCTCGTCCTGGCGGACACCCTGCTCTCGCCCACTGCTCAGCCCTCTCCTCCTCCTCCTCCTCCTCCTCCTCCTCCTCCTCCTCCTCCTCCTCCTCCTCCTCCTCCTCCCCCTCCTCATCCTCCTCCTCCTCCTCCTCCTCCTCCTCGTCCTCCTCGTCCGTAGCCATTGTGGCTCAAGGTTTTGGTTCCCCCTGGGAACACAGTGGATACCGCTAGTCCGCGGCCAGCTTTCAGTTCTTTGCCAATGCTGCACGGGCTCACTGGCGGCCCAATCCTGAGTTCCAGATAGTCACGCAGAGTGAGTTCAGTCCTGGTGCTCAGTGTCAAATGACGGCCCGAAGTTTTCATGCCATGCCCAGCGGCGTAGAATGCAAGCAGGGGATTGGTGTTGCCGTCATTGCACCCACCCTGTCACACAGGCGCCATGGTGGAATCGGTCAACGTTTACTTCGTGCTCGAAGTGCGGAATTGCTAAGGCCACGGCGTTCCTCAAGCTCCGTCCGCCGCCTTCGCCCAGTACTAAGGCCGCAGGGAGCAAAGGGGGTGTCTTATAGAGAGGAGGAGCCAAGACAGATTCAGGAGGTGAGCCACCGCGGCATGCCTCACGCCTGGCCCAGCTCGAGAAGCAACTGGAGGACGCCAACGCTCGCCTTGCAGCGAGCCAGCCACCGACAGATCAGATGCAGGTCGACGAAGGGTCGTTGCCTATCAATGCCACATCGACGCAGAAGCGGGCCAGCCTCGAGGAGATTGACAAGCCGTTGCGAGCCATTGTAGGGCTCCAGGATGATGACTTTGCAGCAGCTCCAACAGCGTTGCAGGCTGAACGCAGCCGGTTGCGAGCAGAGCTGGAAGAGGCCAAGCCCGTGCCAGCGAGGCTCCGCACTCTCGCCTTCCAGAGCAGCAAGTTGCAGCAGCGCAAGGAGAAGCACTTGGAGGCCCTGGAGGCAGC